CCCTTAGTGCCGAAAGATATATGTTCCGTATATACAACAATAAAACATTCATTCATCTCTTCCTTAAAGCCTAAAACAAAATAGTCATGAGGAACCGGCACTACCGATCTGCAACTGAAAGCGTTTGAAACGTAGAGGGAGTTGATCAGATTAAGTATCTCGGCTCCATTATCTCCAGCAACACCCAAGCAGGTGTAACTACGAAAATCGCATTTGCTTCCTGTGATTTTAGTAACAGGCCAAATATCTGAGCTTAGAAAGGAATGTCTTCAATAAAAATTCTTCTATAAATTGGTTCGAGTCAATGTTGTTGTACGGCAGGAAGGTGTATTCTAACGAAAAAACAATAACTACGGTTGAATGCGCACAGAGCAGCGTTGTTTTCGTCGCAAATTAATGGCTAAATGTCAGAACCACGTAAGGCATGTCTCCAGCCAATTTTCAGCACAGATATTTTCAGTATATGGAGAGATAAAGGAAAGGAGGTAGGATCTGTTAGACAAATTGGTCGAATATAAACCATTTACTCCAACAATCACCTTCTCCGTTTCAGAAACAAAAACGAAGTCGATCAGGAGGCTAGCACGCAACATGGATGAACAAGGTAGTTAGGAGAGGAAGAGGAACCATCCTTCCTATGTTGCCGCTACAAGTGTATTATAGCAAGTGTTGAAATGCTAAGAATACAACGAACATCACAAACCAGAAATACTCTGTTAAATCAAACGGTTCAAAGCGATGATCAAAACAAACAACAAAAAGAAAACCAAAAGTTCAACTTTCAAATTTTACCAGTACAATTAAACATTTAACATACTAAGTTACGAAGCCAAACTGACTTGGCTGACTTGACTCGACTTACACTCGTTCAGCTATTTCTGAAAAGCGGCATTTAGACATCTTGTTATCTGAAGGAAATAAAACTACCATAACTAAACACTAACACTACTACTAAACAAAAACTACTACTGCACTAAATATAAAGAATAAAGGCGGCATCTGCTGTAAGCCTATGCGAACGGAACAAAGCAGTTTCCCGCAAAAACTGCCACTAAGCAGGCACTTGTAAAGAAGGAACTATAACTGGTAACCGCCCGAATGTCAGTCTTCCGTACAATCTCATGAAGAGGACATGTCTGGCGCCAGTCCTTTCATCAAGTTAATGGTCGAGCGAGCGCTGATTTCCGATTCCGATTCTATGCCATCAGCCAGGGCTGGCTTGTTTTTCTAAAGGCAGAGATAACAGCAGATATGACCCGCATTACGTGTAGCCCACTGTTTCCTTCCCACAGAGTAGTACTCATTTATCAACCTCGAGGGGAAGAAACACCACTGATTTTGACCGGGGATCGAACCCGAGACCTCTCAGTTTTTGAGTCCGACGGTACACCGAGTTAACCCCAACCTAAAGAAATCTGTAGCAAATTCCTTGTTCGACAGAATTCTTGGTTAAGGAATAGATCGCCCTCTGCCGGAGCTGAACACACGCTTCAGGAGTTCGAAGCTGATCTCCTACGGACTTTCCTATTGAAACCAATATTTCCAAACGTTTCGAAGGTTGATTTTCTAAGACTTCGTGAACATTAGAGCGGAATCAAAGATTCAATTGTTCCAAAGAAAATTTATCTTTCTGTCATGAGACAAACCTACGGAGAGGTCTATTATAGTCCTACTACTGGTACTATCACTCAGCCAACAAGGGCAGCTTCTTAACTACGTATTCCTTTCAGTTAAAAGTTCAGTTAACTTCGCGAAAAAAGTAAGATAAAATTTCAAGGTCTAGTCCTGATGATTATAAATCCTCACATTTTCTAGAAATTCAGGCGGAATTAGCAAATCTAAATACACAGTCTTAAATTGTACTAACCGTAGATTTGCAGGTATTAATTATATTTCGAAACCTTATTTTAAAATACCATTGCTTAAGGATAACACACGGAATAAAACTCCGATTAACATGTTTCTAGTTCATATGTAATTTCTCATCTTTGTAGTGTTTTGAAAACCTGCAAAATATATATGAAAAGTTGGTGTCTCACTGAAACATACAGAATAACGTTATTCATACTTTCAAATCATATGTGCCTTCACGGCAGAGAGACTATCCCTTTCCAATCTCTGGATTTACACTGCGTAACGTGCCATCCGCTTACTTCTAGCATTTCTGATACCTTTGAAGCAGATCGCAATCTTAAG